TCCTGCTGATAAGAATCAGGCGTAATTGCTTGCTTTCAAGGGTACAAAATAGATGCTGCTGAGACACATGACAAAAGCTTGATTTCTGGAACATAACCCCCTCCCTCGCAATCGTAATGATGAAGATACTGATAGACCAGGCAACCGAGTAAAGAACTATACTGTAAATACTCTGGTGTAGGTGCAGCTCCATCTAGGAGAATCACAGCAGTTGGGTTAAATTCATCCTTGCCTGGGAAGATGTTGGGAAGAATTCATTGGAATATGCTGTAGGCATTTGCAGCTGAGATCAAAGGAAGAGGCCCCACTTCTAGCACCTAATTCAGATGCATATTAGAAGCCTGTCTTAGAATAAAATGGACTGTACCCTGGCCTCCAGTGACCAGACTCAGAGATTATCAAAGGAGCACAGAACAATTATTTAAAATTCAGTTTTTCTCATAGTAGAGATCTATTTTAGATAGACTAATAGCTGTGACCAGAGTCTGCATTTGCAGAAAGACCAGGCACTAGTAGAACCATGACTGACAAACAATATAGCTTTATTATGCATGCAAGTTTGCCCATTGATGATATATTCGTTATTGTTCAGGTAATCTGTTCAGACATTGTAGGTTTTCATTAAGAGTTAATGTCAAGGTTTGGGGTGGGGGTTGTTCTTTTTTGGGTATGCAGTATAGCTGCAAATTTTATTATCTACTGATAGAACTGCTTAGGTTCAAATTTTAAGCAGCTCTTCATTTCATTATAATATTCCAATATTTCATTTTGCTATATAAGAAAAACTTAAAATTATATCAACTTCTTTGAAAAAGACTGATAGACTTTCTACTACATTCTGTTATTTCTGCTTATAGAAGGTTCTCTCCTGTGTTGTTATCCATTGCTTCATCTCTGACACTTTCTTCTAAGAAAACAAAAAGAGAAGGCTGTTTTGGAAACTGACTGAAGTAAACAACTGCACATGTATAAGGTGGACTTTGTGGAAGCCTTTGTAACCATTTTTCATGCTGCTCTACTCAAAATCCTCAGATATATTTCTATCTGATGTGTTTTTTTGTAATTCCAGCCATGAAACACTGCTGCACATTGTTGGTAAGTATGAGCTCACCTTGTTGATCAACAAATTAAAGTTTCCATCCTATATGATTTTTCAACATTATCATTTGAATTTTAAACCTAAATTGTGCTTTTAAATTGAACTACTAGCAATTCTTTACAGAGAAGTGTTTCAGAAATCAGCTGCTCTAAAAACAGAACCATTACTTTCATGAATGATCCTACCAACCTAAGGACATTCTCACAGAGCACAAGTCTTTCTGAAAATTTGAAAGGAATCTGCATGGTAGAAAAAAATTATTTCTTTTTTTAGTGTCTTAGTATAAAGATTTTACAAAATCATAAAGTTCACAAATTTAATCCATATTCTTTTTTCATGCCCACTCTTACCTGAATGACTCCTCCACCTTGGCCATCCTTCCCAGCTAAAAACTCTTCGGGCAAATTAACCATCTTCCCTAGCCAATCCAGCATGACAGTCTCCAACTCTGTGCAAGCTGGACTTGCAGCCTGTGTTGAAAAATAGAACAAGAGGGAATAACCGCACTAGACCATGAAGAGAAATAGGATCTATCAGAGCAAGAATAATTCTTTCTCTCTCTGTCTTTTGACTACAGAGGAAGAGACTAATTGACTAAAGTCAGCAGCCAAATTAGGGACCTGAAGATCATTTTGAGCATGTTGTTTCTAGCACTTACTAAAATACATGTTGAAATAGGCCTTACATCGAACCATGAGTATCAAATGTCAAAGCTAGGATTTGCATCTTGCATATTATTTCTAATATCAAATAGCAGCCTCTTTTTGAGAAAAGCCCATCTCATATGAATCTGGATTTTTGAACACAATTTTCCATTCATCCAGATAAAAAGAGAAATAACAACACTGGGTGCTAGACAACAGTCACACTACTTATCAAATTACCAGTAAATTTGCATTGCTAGCACTTATTCTAAATGCTGGTGATTTTTCAAGGGCAAAACTTGTAAGAGGAAATAGCCTCTCATTCCTGAAGTCATTCAGGGTGTCTTATGTGAAAACAGTTAAGTAGTCAAGGAAATTTACTGACAGAAATAATCATATGACTTCACTGCTATTAATCAATAATTTCATTGTACAGTGTTACTGAAACATTTATAATCTTGATAAAGTGGAGCACCATTACCACATAGCAGCACACAACAGAATAAACTTACCCATGAGAAGCCCACACACCCTATTCCACCACACAACATATCTGCAAGAAGAGCTGGGAAAGAAGAAGCTGCAGGGAAGTAGGCAAAAAAGTAGGGACTGTGCCAGTGAGTCACCTGTATTGAAGAGAAAACAGTAATTTTTAACTAATGCAGAAAGAAACAAAATGTCACAAAAGCAGAAAATGTTAGAGGCTGTGAACAGGCAACAGTTCTTGACTATCTGGCTGTAACACAGGATCCCATATTTTAGAAATACTTATCCTTTTTTTTCACAATTTTTAGCTATTTTCTACTCAAATTAAAATAAATTAGTTCTCAACCCCATCTCCCAACAGTTCCAATATCAGAGTTCTCCATTTGGCTGCCTAGAAGACAAGAATTGCATGGGCAGTGGCAGTCTGAGCTTCTGTGCAGGAAGCTGTTCTTGAGCTTCTGCTATCAGGGTCTCTCTGGTACTTTGTTCTTCTATCTCTGTCATGCAACTGACTCAGCAAGCGTGCCTCGAGTGCAGCAGAGGTTGGCAGAAATATCTTGCCCACACTCTGGTGTTGTTACCATTTAGGCACTGAATCTGACCAAACAGCTCCTCACCACCAAATGAAACAATCCATCCGAGTATACAGTACATTCTGTAGAAAATTAAACTATCAACTCCCTATAACAAGTTATGATTTGTATAGAATTCCACTTTATATGTACCGATATGAGAGAATAACATAATAACTGCACAAACTGTAGTCAGCTGTCTTGCAGAAGCAATATTTAGAATTATCTTAGGCAACATCTAAGCAATTTTAAGGATCTGTGAGATACTTGATAGTGCTCTACAACTCTAACCTAATAAAACTTGAAAACAGGAAACGCACTGCCACACTGCAATGTTCTGTGGAAATAATGCAATATGTTTGGCAAAAAACAGCTTTCACTTTCAAGGTAAAAGGCAATTTTTAGAACAAAGTGCTCCTAGAGAATTAGATGGATTATAAGTGAAAATTCAGCAGAATGTGTATAAGATTTTTTACTTGGCTGGAAATCCAGAGGCTGCTGAATTACTGAAGACTATGCTTTTCTTGTGCCATTTTGTGTCCTTTTTTTACTATTGGAATTCTCTTACAGCCAGAGGATAGTAAGAATATACATTCTCTCTTGCCTGAGTTCAGTGTTCCCTTGCTGTTTTGTTCCACTTTCCCACCTCTGATGTATTTTACCTTTCACACTCCCCTCTCCCAGTCTGTGATAAGGTTTCTCATTTTGGAGCTAACTCAGGGATTGCTATACTGCACTGTCCTGCATGCTGCAAATATCCCTTTCTTTCCTCTTCTAACCTTCTTTATGCCGACAACCAGCTCTTCTTTAAGGGAAATGCTCCACAATAAAGGGAAACTGTCTTAACTGTGGCATACAAAATGATTCAGATACCACTTTCCCTGTTGCACTCTACCATATATAAAATTTTGGATGTCCCTATCTCTTTCATATGAAAACAGGTTCAATCCATTACGATTTTCCACTGTCTAAACTAGGCCTGTACCTGGCTGGTTGAAGATTTCATTTTTGCTGGTCACTAGGTCCAAACCTGCTCAAATCAGCTGTCCAAAGACAAACCACTGTGAACATTTTGGATGAGAAACTCACCATGAGCTAGAGTGTGCACTAGCAGTCCAGAAAGCCAATCAAATCAAAAAGAGTGTGGCCAGCAGGTCAAGAGAGTTGATTCTTCCCCTCTACTCTGCTCTTGTGAGACCCCACCTGGAATATTGCATGCAGTTCTGGTGTCCTCAACACCAGAAGGACATGGAATTATTGGAGCAGGTCCACAGGAGGGCCAAGAAGTTGATAAGGGGACTGGAGCATCTCCCCTATGAAGACAGGCTGAGGAAGTTGGGGCTGTTCAGCCTGGAGAAGAAAAGACTGTTTGGAGACCTCATAGCAACTTTTCAATACTTGAAGGGGCCTACAAGGGAGCTGGAGAGGGACTCTTTGTTAGGAACTGCAATGATAGGACAAGGGGTAATAGGTTCGAACTGAAGGAGGGGAAGTCTAGGTTGGATGTGAGAAAAAAGCTTTTTACTAAAAGGATGGTGAGATATTGGAACAGGTTGCCCAAGCAAGTGGTGGCTGCCCCAGCCCTGGCAGTGTTCAAGGCCAGGCTGGATGAGGCCTTGAGCAACCTGATCTAGTGAGGAGGTGTCCCTGCCCATGGCAAGGGATTGGGACTAGATGATCTGTAAGGTCCATTCCAACCCCTAATTTCTATGATTCTATGATTTTCAGTTATATTTCATCTTTGGTCAGGATCTCTTTCTTTGCTGTAACAAAGTTTTAGAGCACTTGTGGCAAACACCTTCCTTCACATATCAGAAAATATATGGGATGGGACTTTGATTCTTCACAGGAAAACAGTAAAATACTCAACAGACAGTGGTCCCTGATAGGACCCACATGCACAGACTTTCACTGACATCCATAATGAGCCAAGGCTGCCACTGTTCACCTCCCCAGCTCTAATCCTCTGTGATCTGTAAGACTTCTGACATTCATCTTGGGTTAATCAAGTTAAACTGACTGCTTGCTGGGAGCCATTTGTTTGATGAAACACAGCAGATTTCAGTTGCACCACTCACACAAAGCAGAAAAGCCAAAAGCCCTAGGGCTAGTGCAGCTGTGGTTCTTCCTTCTGCCTCCCCTTCCCCCTTCTCTTGCAGCAGCTGTAAAATTAATCTTGTTCACCATGTTGGAACAGACACACTTAGTCAAATATTGCAAAGAGCATGACATAATTGAAGCTTGTTTTTTCAGCCCTCTGTTGATAAATAATGATACACAAGTGTCTTTGGTTCACTCTAATTACCACTCTAATGCTTTTCAGAGACATTTTATTTCCAAGATTTCTTCTAAGGATGTCTTTTGCTTTCTTAGTCTAAGCAACATTCTTCCTTTACCACACACCAAGGATAGGCACTTCAGCTGAAACTTCATAGATTAATGGATCCAATGTGAGGAAAATTAGCATCTTCAGTACTGCTATTTGCACTTACATCTACACTTGAACATTTTTGGCTCTAAGAAAGGGGGAGATATATTTCAGAAGAACAAAGCAAGTCTAAGAGAGAAAGGTGACTCCCACTGATATTTTTATATGCAGATCCTTTCCACTTTGGCTTCCTGCTGTGGAGATCAGAGTTCAGTGGTTGTTCCCTCTCTCCCTGTGTTAATATCAGGAGCTTAACACCATTATTGTCATTATCATTTAGTGCACTGCCCTTTGAAGGTCTACATCCAATTTCACAATAAGTTTCCATAAAGATGGTTCACCACTCATGAATGCTTGTTCTCCTATAGGTTAAAGACAGCAATGGATACTGCATTATTGCTTCACACAATTAATTGATCCTTTCTCCTCTGAAGGAACACCATTTTCACATTTTCAGTCGTCCAATAAGTAGTAAATATCTGAACACAACTAACACAGTAAAGATGTCAACATGAACAAAACAAGAATCACTTATGCGCCACTAATAGCTTATGGGCAAAACAGGGGTTTATGACCTCTGTCATATTACTTATTCATTGTGAAGAAACTTCATTTATAAAATGAGGATAAGTCATTCCCTGGAAAAACACTATAGCTGAAAAACACTAGATGTACTTTTAAATGTTAGTCTTGTCAGGAAAAAAAAAAGTGAAGTAGATTAAGGAAAAATATAACCTGAACAATTAGGGCAAAAATATCATTGCAGATGGGCTGGCTAGCCTGGTAAGGAGAGCTTTAAACTAGGAACAATGAGGGAAGGAGATTAAGATCCACAATCAGGGGAGGAAGATGCACTGAGTTGGCAAGCAAAGGGTGAAAGGTAATGTAGACATGAGAGAACTTGAAAAGAACCTAACTCTAAAGCAGACCAACCCCAAGTGTATCCACATAAAAAAAGAAGTGCTGAGAAGAGAGGATGATGGTGGGACCTGTGGGGGAGGAGTTCTCATAGCTTTTCTGGGAAATCAACACAAATGGGTGCATCTCTGAAGCACCTCTATGCCATGGCATGACACATGGGGAATAAACAGGCAGAAACAGAAAGCTGTGTGTAGCTACAGGGCTATGATTTCACTGGGATTGCAGAGATATGGTGGGATTGCTTGCATGACTAAAGCTCTGCAGGATACGAGGACTGGCTCTTTAGGGAGGACAGGCTCTTCAGGAATGACAGACCAGGAAGGCAAGGCAGAGGAGT